ATACAATGTCTGAAGGAAGGACGAAGGAGGCGGGGGGCGGGGGGGCGGGGGCGAGAGGAACTTTCAGGAGCTGGGGCGGGAGGGGTTTGTCTTGGAAGTTCCCTCTGCTGGGCGTGACAGCTTTCTCATGGCCAAGAGAAGTCTGCTCAAGGTAAACAGGAACCCACGGTCCCCTGGGGGCAGCATGTACTAATCTGTTTCATGGATCCTCCCGTGAGAAAAGCCCGGAGCACCCTTCCACTTTCTGCGTGGGGAGAGGGAGGCAAGGGACTGGCTGAGAGCCTTTGTTCAAAGGTGACAACATTCGTCACATGCAGGAAAAAGTCTTCTCTCCCTAAAACCTTGGAGCCCGAAGAACATCATTTCTCTATGTCTGCTGGACGTGCACACTACTCGGCTGAACTCTACGCAGTTTCCTTTGTCCTTGTTCAAAACAATTTCTCCCAGATCTTTCCAACTGCCCAACGGAACTGGGATTATGGTCAACCATCACAGTGCATCTGGGAAAAGAAGTCAACACTCCTGTCTGGACTCTTGGTTCCTGATAGCCTGGGATCTGGAGTATGTCAGGAGACGTCTCGGAGCCTGGATGTCCTCATGAGGACATGATCTCAGTATGGGCAGCCTGTGGTCAGCTCCCTGAGCTTCTGTATCCATGACACCCAGCACAGTCCGACCCTAGCTGCATGAATAAATAACACTGTTGCCTGCCCGACCTATGAGATATCCAGGATATAATGTACACAGATCACTTTGTAAACTCTGAAACATAACACAAAAATTGTCTCTTGCTATATATTATGTGCAATGAAAGTTGGGCTTCTCGGTGAATTAGTGGGAAGATTATGTGGGTGTCTGCAGGTTGGGGTGAAGTTCACCACAGGTATGGAACCAATCAACAGGGTGAGTTTAAGACCTCTGTGCAAGGCCAGGTACTGCCAGGTCTCCAGTGTCTCTGTGTAATGCGGGGATTTGTTTGGTGCTGCATTTCCTGCCCTGAGTAGGTCCTCCTGGGCGCTCGCTGCTACAAATAGAACAGTGGCAGGAACAGCGGGAGGGCAAGGAGCAGGGTTGGCATAGCACACATTTCGTTCCCAAAGGAGGGGCGTCCTGATGCGCTGGCACCGGGGGCTTTGCATTCCGCGCGGGGAGCTCGGGCGTCACCGCGCAAACAAAGCCGCTTTGCAGCTTTTCCTTTTGCTCCTCGCCATTGGCTGCCGGGCCGCGACCTCCCCCCTGCGCTGGCAGAAGCCCAGCGCCTTAGCTGGGCGCAAAGTCAGTCCCTCACCCTCGACGCACGGGGGGAGGGGCACGGCTCTCCCCAGCAGGGGGTGGGGCGGGGGGCGGTTGGTCGCAGTTGGCCGCGACTCGCGGCACCCGGCCTGGTTGCCCTTCACCCTTCTGTGTCCCTCGCCCGCCTCACCCGCCCTGGCAACTCCGCCACCTGTTGACGCGTCCATGTCCTCCCAGTTTGCGTTCCCATTCCCCTTTTGCATCCTGGGGTCCCCGGGACAAGGTCCTTCCCCTCTCGCCCCGCCCTCTGCGCTATCCCGAGACTCGAGGTCACCCGCGCCTCTGCCCCGGGTCTAGACCAGTTCATTGCCCAGACCCGCAAAGCCCAGAGGAGGAGGGGCCTGGGCGCCGGGCGGGAACCTCCACCCGTCCCGCAGGCGCGGGGCCGAACATGCGCCGACGCCCAGCCGCACGCGGTGTGCCATCGCGGCTCTGTGCCCACCCGCCCGGTGACCTGGCAGTCCCTCCGCCTCCCCCGCCTCAGTTTCCCCACTGGTGCAGTGCCTGCGGGGAAGGAGGTGGGAGCCGCTGAGAGGGGCCCCCCCCCGCCCCGCGGGCATCCAATCGGGCGCCGCCACCCGGGGGGTGTGTCCCACGCGGGGCGGGCCCGGGGGCGGGGCTTCCTGGCCGGCCACCCGCGCGAGCGGCCGCAGCTACC